ATTGGTGTCAGTGGGAGGAATAGTGTCCCATCATTGGTGTCAGTGGGAGGAATAGTGCCCCATCATTGGTGTCAGTGGGAGGAATAGTGCCCCATCATTGGTATCAGTGGGAGGAATAGTGCCCCATCATTGGTGTCAGTGGGAGGAAGGAATAGTGTCCCATCATTGGTGTCAGTGGGAGGAATAGTGTCCCATCATTGGTGTCAGTGGGAGGAATAGTGCCCCATCATTGGTGTCAGTGGAAGGAATAGTGTCCCCATCATTGGTGTCAGTGGAAGGAAGGAATAGTGCCCCATCATTGGTGTCAGTAGGAGGAATAGTGTCCCATCATTGGTGTCAGTGGGAGGAATAGTGTCCCATCATTGGTGTCAGTGGGAGGAAGGAATAGTGTCCCATCATTGGTGTCAGTGGGAGGAAGGAATAGTGTCCCATCATTGGTGTCAGTGGGAGGAATAGTGCCCCATTGTTGGTGTCAGTAGGAGGAATAGTGCCCCATCATTGGTGTCAGTGGGAGGAATGGCGCCTCATCGTTGGTGTCACTGGGAGTTATAGTGCCACAATGGCCTGATAAAGGCTAGCAAAGGGCTGCATCAGGCCCTCACAGTTTGGAGAACACTGGTGTACAGCAATGACACAGACTGGAAGGACGCCTCCACTATCTGTGCAGCATTACCCTGAATCAGTCATAATTGTCCAGCATGCTGGGAAATGTCTGTATGTGATGCCCAGGGTGGGGCAGTTAATGTGGCATCAGAAAGACAAACTTTAACCCTGTCCCTGTAGAGATGAGTGGATCAGTAAGCTATGGCCCCTTTGACACCTCTAGCAGAATGCATAGCTCTGCACTTCCTGTGGCCTCCATGGTGTCACCTGCCTCCTCTCTGTAACCCTCCATCAGGACGTTTCATATCCTCAAATCACAGCCTGAGCTCCGCACCTGAAACCACCCACTTCCTATAGAACCACTTTTACTTCTTCTTCCAGCCAATTATAAAGCACTTTTGACCCCGGCATGGTCTACTGGCCGTCGGCTTACAGGGCCCATTTGTAGGACTTATGGGGGCCACAAATGTTCTGTCCCGATTTCAATCTGCTGTTCAGGGATTTGGGATTTTTTTTTTTGGATAAAGGGGGAAAATTGGTTAGCACTTCCGCCTGGCAGTACTCGGGTCGTTGGTTCGAATCCCAACCACAGCACCACCTGCATGAAGTTTGCATGTTCTCCCTGTGCCTGCGTGGGTTTCCTCCGGGTACTCTGGTTTCCTCCCACACTCCAAAGACATGCTGGTAGGTGAATTGGATCCTGTCTAAATTGTCCCTAGTATGTGTATGTATGAATGTGAGTTAGGGACCTTAGATTGTACACACCTTGAGGGTTAGGGACTGATGTGAATGTACAATATATATGTAAAGTGCTGCGTAAACTGACGGCGCTATATAAGTACCTGAAATAAATAAATACATTTCTGCCATGTTTTTATTTCGGTGACCCCAGTGGGGAGATTTTCCCTCACTTCCTGTCTCTGTGACACCGGTAAATGAAATGGCAGGTGTGGGTGTCACTGGGACCAGAAAGCGCAGGCAGCAGATACATTGTCAGGTCTATTGCTTCCCCATTGGAATGACTTCATTTCCTGTGTCCCCATAGGAGAGATTTAAAGCCTTCCCATCAGCCTTGCACAGTTGTAGCGGCTCCTCTCCTGGACTGAGATTGCTTACTCTGATTTCACTGCACACTGTGAGCACCTCAGGTCACCTCATTTCCTGGATGACGATCATCCAGCATCATTTCGCACTTTGCTCCCCGGCCTGTCTGTGGACTGCGTCTTTCACTCATTTACTTTCAGTTATGTCAATCATGAAGTCTCAGCATGATGTGGGTCCTGCTTAGGGTGGTCCCGTTTTCAGGTTGCCCCTCCTACTAGTCTTGATCTGTCTGCTTTGCCTAGAGAAGCAAAGAGACCCAGTGAGGACATAAAATTAGGTATGCAGTGAAAATGTAAAAGCTTTTATGTGAATCCAGCCTTTTATGCCCTCTATTCTTCCGTCCGGCCCACTGCTCCAGGCGACAGACATTATTATCCCAGCTGTTTGGAATAATCACTGAGCTGTTGGCTGCAGGGGACATGAAAGCAGCGGGGATTGTGAAATCCTCTGATTCTGGGATTTGTACTGGTGAGTAATGGTGCTTGGAATGGTGTCCTGAGGTCAGCATTGCTATTCATCACCTACTGAGGGTGTCAGTGCCCAGCATTGTGTGTCAAATCCTCCAACCATTGGCTGCACTACTCTCCTCTATGGAATGCAATGAGTCCTCTACACCTCCAGGGGGGGCTCTCCACTGCTTTATCTGCATGGCACTACTGCCATCTAGTGACAGAAAAGGAATATGACAGCTTAACAATCATTCCAATGGTAAAGAGCACCTGTAATGTAGCACCTGAGCATTGCATTTTTCAGCATTTTTTCAGGTGTTTTGTTGCACATTTGTACGTGCGTTGTTTTGTACAGCGTTTTTGAGCTTTGGTGGATTTTTTAATAGCCAATAGAGAAAAATATAATTTGTTAGTATTATTTATTTATTTATTGTTAGAATTAGGGGTTGGAATTAGGGTCAGGTATTAGGGTTAGGGATTAAGTTTAGGGTTGGGAGTTAGAGTTAGGGGTTAGGTGTTTGAGTTAATATTTTATTTATTTTCCTCTTATTATTTATTTATTTATATTTTGTTAGGGTTAGGGTGTTTATTTTTTTATTATGATTATTATTTTTATTATTCTTATTAATAATAATAATAATTATATTTATTTTTTAGGGTTAGCAGGTTAAGGTTACGGGCTAATTATTATTTGTTTATTATTACATATTTTTTCTTTTTATTTATTATTTATTCTTGATTGTTTTGATTCATTTTTATATTTTATTTTTTTAGCTTTTATTTATTCATTTATTATTTATTAATTGATTTTTTTTATTATTATTATTATTATTATTAATAATAATAATAATAATAATAATAATTTTTTTAGGGTTAGGAAGTTAAGGTTAGGGGCTAATAATTATTATTTTTTTTTATTATTACATATTTTTTCTATTTATTTATTATTTATTCTTGATTGTTTTGATTTATTTTTGTATTTATTTTATTTTTTTAGCTTTTATTTATTCATTTATTATTATTGTTTATTAATTTATTTAATATTATTTTTTTTTTTTTTTTAGGGTTAGGAAGTTAAGGTTAGTGGCTAATAATTATTTTTTTTTATTTATTACATATTTTTTCTATTTATTTATTATTTATTCTTGATTGTTTTGATTTATTTTTGTATTTATTTAATTTTTTTAGCTTTTATTTATTCATTTAGTATTATTATTTATTTATTCATTTATTTATTATTATTATTTTCTTTTTTTTAGGGTTAGGAAGTTAAGGTTAGGGGCTAATAATTATTATTTTTTTTATTATTACATATTTTTTATATTTATTTATTATTTATTCTTGATTGTTTTGATTTATGTGTGTTTTGATAATGTGTGTTACGTGTTTTTTCTGATATTATTGTTACAGCAGCACTACACTTGATTTATATTATCTTCATTTCTATAATGCAGATAAACCAAGGGATACACACATGGGGCATATTTACCCCCCCATTCACATCAAAGCCGAATTAAAAATCATGAGACTTACAGTGAAGTCGCACAATTAAAAAATTGGGCGACCTGTCAATTTAAGTTGTGTACACAGATGTCTATGCAAATCGCAACAAAAGTAGTGCATGCACTAATTTAGAAATCGGTGCGGATCCGTCCAAGTCAGAACGGCACCAATATGACTGCTCTAATAGAGGACAATAGAGTGTGACTTGGCATACGATTTGGAAGTCCCCTGGCATGCAAATGACATGCCAAGTCGCACTCGATGTGACCGGGGTGTTAGAGCCCAATCACACTTGTGCATCTTGTGATGCGACTTTGTGGTCCAAAGTCACATGACAAGTCGCCCCCCCATGTTTCCCAATGGGTACCATTCATATCTGTGCAACTTCAAAGTAGTTCAGGCCAGGGGTGGACTGACAACTCATGGGGCCCCCAGGCAATAGGGGATCATGGGGCCCCTGTGTCCTTGCCAAAACTCAAACCACACCTAAAAAAGCCTATGAAAGGTACCAGGGGCATCTCATGGGGCCCCCTACTGATCCCGTGCCCTCAGGCAGTGCCCGAGTTCCCAAATGGTCAGTCCGCCCCTGGTTCCGGCACTACTTTGGTATGACTTTCTTACAACTTGAGTGCCATAGACTGCAATGAAAACCCTCAAAAGTCGTATGAAAGTTACACCTGAATGTTATACATGCAACAGTTGTCTGTTATCATTAATGAAAGCCGAAGTCGCATCCAAGTTGCCCCCATCCAAAGTTGCGTCAGAGTTGCATCAAAGTTGCATAAGGCTCCGTTCACATCAAATCCAATTTTGAAATCATGCAACTCACAGTGAATTCATTGCGATTTGCAAGACATCTGATACAGATCTCTATGCAAATCGCAACAAAAGTAGTACATGTACTACTTTTGAAATCGGTGCCGGTGACTTTTTGGTCGGAACCGGTCCGACATGACCGCTCTGATAGCGGATGATAGGGTGCAACTTGGCATGCAATTTGCAAGTCTCAGGGCATGCAAACTCCATGCCAAGTAGCATCCAGTGTGAACCAGCGCTTAAAGTTGCACCAAAGTTGCACTCTGAAGTCGTGCAACTTTGGAGTCATACTAGTGTGAACGGAGCCTTGTAACGCAGAGAATCTAACATTCAGCCAACATTCTCTGCAGGAGAATCTTCCAGGTCCAGGTGTTTTAAATGACAGCAATTGATTCTCCACCAGAGGACGATCAGTGAACGCCACATTCACTGCTCTATAAACAGACCCCAGTAGTAAGATCACAGAATAAATGGGTGTCAGGTGTGTGACAGATAAGTGTGTCATTCATCTCCTGAGCCTGGTCCGGTGTCAGTGACCCCCAGCACAGCCGTCACCTCATCTCCTCTCTATCTCCTGTAACCGACTTGTTTGCTTTTCTTCCTGCAGATACCAGACAAGTGCAGACATCTCCCTCCTGGTCCTATGACCAGTCCTATCAGTACCTTGGGTCCATCGCCACCCCATCCGTGCACCCAGCTACGCCCATCTCACCAGGACGAGCCAGTGGCATGTCTTCGCTCAGCGCAGAGATCTCCAGCCGATTATCAGGTAGGATCCCGGGATTACCATACTCTGCTTAAAGGGGAACACATATCACAGCCAGGCAGAGAGCAGTTTCAAAAGAAGAGCCTGGTAGGGACATTCCCTTACCTCTGTAAATAGTAGTCACCGATTCAGGTTTATGGAACGTTTTCACCAGTTTAAATTTCCCATCAGACTGGCAGCGGGAGTACCTGCACTGGCTGCTGAATGGGAGAGAAGGGGCATTGCAGGGGGCATTGCAGGGGGGCAGTGACATTAATTATGGTCTCAGAGATTGGGCATCTGGGGGCCCCCTTGCTAAAGGGGGCTTCCAGATTCCAATAATCTAACCACCCGCAGACAATCGCAACCACAGCCCTCAACATGAGGACAAGGTGCTTTGGGGGCAGGAGCCCCCCTCCTCAAAGCACCCCCCCATGTTGAGTGCATGTGGCCTGGTATGGTTCAGGGAGGGGAGGCGCTCGCTCGTTCCCCCCATGTTGAGGGCATGTGGCCTGGTATGGTTCAGGAGGGGGGGGCGCTAGCTTGTTCCCCCCCATGTTGAGGGCATGTAGCCTGGTATGGTTCTGAAGGGGGGGGCGCTTGCTCGTTCCCCCCCATGTTGAGGGCATGGTTACCTGGTATGGTTGAGGAGGGGGGGGGGGGAGGTCGCTCGTTCCCCCCCATGTTGAGGGTATGTGGCTTGGTATGGTTCAGAAGGGGGGGGCACTCGCTCGTTCCCCTCCATGTTGAGGGCATGTGGCTTGGTATGGTTCAGGAGGGGGGGGGCGCTCGCTTGTTCCCCCCCATGTTGAGGGCATGTGGCCTGGTATGGTTCAGAAGGGGGGGGGGGGGGGGGGGGGCGCTCGCTCGTTCCCCCCCCCCCCCCTTTCTTGACCTGCTGAGTTGCATGCTCGGATAAGGGTCTGGTATGGATTTCGGGGGGGACCCCACACCATTTTTTATTTATTTTTTTGGCATAGGGGTTCCCCTCAAAATCCATACCAGACTCGAAGGGCTTGGCATGGATGGAGGAGGGGGGCCCCACACCATTTTTTTATTATTTTTTTAATTGCCGGCAGTTCTTTCTGTTATTCAGCTGTCAGTAGGGAACCCCGCCACACCTTCCCACATGTGCAGTGCGTTTTTGGAGCGGTTTTAAGCGTTTTTGGAGCGTTTTTGAGGCAGTTACCATTCATGTCAATGGGAAGAGGCGTTTTTGAGGCATTTTTTTTTTAACTCCCCAAACATGCATCAAAGATGCTGCAAGCAGGTGTTTTTACACGGCACCGCAAGCGCAACGCCTCAGTGGGAAAACATACATAGATATACATTCACATACACAGGGAAGCAGTTTTCTTGAGCTTTTCAGGTATTTTTTTTTTTAACGCAAAAACGCTTCAAAAATTCCTTAGTGTGGAAGTAGCCGAAGGCTGCAAACTGTACAGCAACTTCACAGCATAAAACAAACAAAATATCTGTTCATCCGAGCCACTGACTAACCTCGGGTCAAATCCTCAATATCAGGATGCCCTCATGGGTTCCCCAATGCAAGCAGGCAGCTCTGGTACCTTTTTAGTGTTTGGTCCGCAGTCGGCCTTTTCACCCAGCAGCAGATTCCCACAGCAAAAAGTGAGAGAGAGAACCCTGAGCATCAGTCAGCTCACATATTTACTGTATATAGACCTGTGGACAGCTGAAACTAATAATGAGGTCTGGCTACTGGATAAGATGAGGCTTCGTTCACATTAAATCCGGTTTTGAAATCGTGCGACTTACAGCGAAGTCGCGCAATTTCAAAATCGGGTGAGATGCCGATTTCCTTGCGATTTGCAAGACATCTGACACAGGTGTCTATGCAAACCGCAACAAAAGTAGTACATGTACTACTGTAGAAATCAGTGCGGCTCCGTCCAAGCCAAGAATCACACCGATATGACCGCTCTGATAGCGGACAATAGGGTGCGACTTGGCCCTGCGATTTCGCAGGGCTTGCATATGGCATGCCAAGTCGCATCCAGTGTGAACCAGCCCTTAGGAACGGAGGATTTATCACAGCCAAAGTTCTACAAAGCCTCCAGGCTCCTGGACCCAGAACACAACCTCCTGAAATTCTGAGCCAAAAAATAATTTCTCACCAGGAGTAGGTGATAAAGCTTGGTGACGCATACACATTGCCAGGCTGAACGCGTTTGTTTTATTTAAAGTTTCAAAGTTTATACATTAAATATTTTTAAACACTATTTTAATAATACCTATTGACTAATAAACATTCATTACAGGAATTATCTATCGCACACTGCTTGCAATTTATACTGGGCTTTCTCATAGGAAAGCCCAGCACCACCGCCATACTTTTTGTCAGGCTTTTAACACTCTTTTTTATATAATACCTTTTGACTAATAAACATTCATTACAGAGCATATAGCACACTGCTTGTAAACTTTACTGGGCTTTCTCATAGGAAAGCCCAGCACCACCACCAAGCTTTTTGTCAGGTTTTAAACACTTTTTATATAATACCTTTTGAATAATAAACATCCATTACAGAGCATATAGCACACTGCCTGCTAATTATACTGGACTTTCTCATAGGAAAGCCCAACACCACCACCATGCTTTTTTCAGGCTTTTAACACTCTTTTTTATATATAATACCTTTTGACTAATAAACATTCATTACAGAGCATATAGCACACTGCTTGTAAACTTTACTGGGCTTTCTCATAGGAAAGCCCAGCACCACCGCCATACTTTTTTTCAGGCTTTTAACACTCTTTTTATATAATACCGTTTGACTAATAAACATCCTTTGCAGGGCATATAGCACACTGCTTGCAAACTTTATGGGCTTTCTCACAGGAGAGCCCAGTTCCACCACCATACTTTTTGTCAGGTTTTAAACACTTTTTATATATACCTTTTGACTAATAAACATTCATTCCAGGGCATATAGAACACTGCCTGCAAATTATACTGGACTTTCTCATAGGAAAGCCCAGCACCACCACCATACTTTTTGTCTTTAAACACTCTTTCTATAACACCTTTTGACTAAGAAACATTTATTACAGGACATACCTATAGCACACTGCTTGCAGTTTGCACTGGGCTTTCTCTTAGGAAAGCCCAGCATCACCACCATACATTTTGTCAGGCTTGGTTAGGAACTTTAGGGAAGAGGAGTTGTCAAGTCTGTTCTTAGCACTACTTTTTAGAGATGCACTCACACTTCTGCCTTTTTTATGTGTCTTAATGCATGATGAGATAAGTATCATTCTGCATTTTTAAATTTTATATTTGATTACATTTTTTATTTCATTTTTACTTTTGTAATTTAATTACATTTTTAATTTGCTAAAATGTTGTGAGCAGGGGCAGACTGACCATTTGGAAACTCGGGCACTGCCCGAGGGCCCGGGGTCAGTAGGGGGCCCCATGAGATGCCCCTGGTACCTTTTTCATAGGCTTTTTTGAGATTGGGCAAGGACACAGGGGCCCCATGATCCCCTATTGCCCAGGGGCCCCATGAGTTGTCAGTCTGCCCCTGATTATGAGCAATGTTCTTAACTAAATTTCCTGAAAATAGGTGAACACATAAGATGCATAAAACACACATTTTATATAAGGTAAAAAAAAAACATTTTTGGTTTCCTTTACAAACGCAGGGCATGTAAAACACATAAAACACAATAAAAAGAACGCACTGCACTGTGTGTAAAATACGTTTAAAATGCATATATAAATGTATGCAGAGACGCACATATATTTTCCAGCAAAGAGGTGTATATGCCACCTTACTGCGCCACCTGCTGGTTGCAGATGGGAAACATGGAAAACTCACATGCAAGCTTTTTGATACTAGTCTACATTGATTATCTCTTGAAATCCCTGACTACACCAGGAGATGAGGAGCACAGGCTGAAAAAGCTTCTATACCAGACATACGGCACACCTTGTCTGGGCAATGTGTCTTACCTGGGGCTTGTTTGTGTTCTGCAACCTGCGCTCTGTGTGTGTGGCTGCCAAGCGGTGCATTGACAGGCGGCTTTCATTAGTTCTGTACTGATGACTCCATTAAGAGGGAGGTTTATCAGTTGAGAAGATCTTTTTGCTCTTCCAGGAACTCAGTGACAGCGCTGAAGCTCCGGCTTTGGCTTTGTCGCCGCTTGGCTGACGGTCTCACCATGGTGGCTGCATTTACGTAACTCTGCAAGCCAGACAGGGATGAAGTCATTACTGTTTGTCTTAATGATTTGTCTGCTGAATATTTGCTGTTCATGAAAGAGATCCCAGGCCAGGGGAAGGTGTCAGGTGAAATGATGCGTCTGCTCCTGGAGAATATTAAAGGGATGACATATGGATGGAGTCATGTGACCAAAGTATCACACCAGTTGTGAATTCTATGTTTGATTAGGTATTGATTATACACAGCTGGTTAAAGTTATAAATGGCCACCAAAAATACATATATAGGGGTCTGCCTTTCCTTCCATTTATATATATTTTTTTCAAATTCTTTATTTATAACAACTGAACAGCAGGTGGCAAGTAGGCTGAATGTACAACCAATATAAACATATTAACACATTTATATTTTTTTACATTTATATTTAACCAATCCTGTGATCCACATACTCCTGCCTGGCCAGGTTCCTGACACACTTTCTGTTGGTTATAAGTTAGAGAAGACACTTGTAGCTTGTGATGAGGCAGAACTTGGTTTACTTGTGTGGCTTAAGTTGCAAACATACAAAACATTTCAGTAATCAGTAACAGCAGACATCTTGGTTATAAAGAGAGAGAGAGAGGAAGAGAGAGAACCAACAAGTTTTTCAGATATGCACAACTGATAACCTTAGTGTACAGTGCCATCTACTGGTCAAGTGATATTAACACACAATACTGTATATAGTACATGCTGTTGCATTCCCAACACTTTCCTCCTCTGCAGTTTAGCAGTGCAGCTTGGTCAAGGACCTGCCCCAGCCTGTGATTGAACAGTGAAGCAGCAGCATCCCATCATATTTATTAAAGTGGTATTAAACCCAAAAGCAAACATTTATTATTTTGCAGCTTACCTATTCTTAGATGTGATAGCTGTATTCATTTTTTTTTTTTTTTTAGTCTTTCTTCTCTTTTTGAATTTTTTTTAGTGATCTGGTCAGAAAGTCTGTTGTTTTTCAAAAGAACAAGCTCTCTTCCAGACTTATCATTTTACAGAAATGAGACATACCATTAAACATTGACAGAGGTGCTTACAATGATCAGATTTTTTTTTAATGTAAAACCTTTATTGCATAAGAAAAAAACATGTTTGCTATAACTGATTATAGAGTGTGAGCTGGAGTTTGACTTCAATCTGCTAGTGTATTTAAATGTTAGTACATCTAACATTCCCCTTCCCCTCCCTCCATTGCTGCTGTCCAAATGTGCCCCCTGTGCTCCTTCATCCAGAGTGGGGGCTACTCTAATACAGGAGGTATGTTACTGGCCAGATCACCAGGTGAAACCAGAGGAAAAAAAAAAAGAAAAACTAATGCAGCCACCACATCTAATGATTACTAAACTGCAATAGATTACATGTTTGGGTTTAATATCACTTTAAGTGTTCTGCATTATTCTTTTGTGTATTATTTCATGTTTGTAATAATGGGAACAGTAGGTTAAAATGTACAAACTTTTTTTTTGTTTTGTATTCATTAGTTATGAGGTTAGTGCCTTTGCCAGGTTTTAATTGCTGCCTGTGTCCCTGCTAGTGTCTGTGTCCCTCCTTTCCTTGAATGTGATTGGGTATTCTTTACAAAGTGAAACTTGACGCTATTTACTAAGGTCTGCAGCAACATCCCTTGCAAAGTGCACAGTCTATTTTCCGTTAGTAAATCAACCCCAAAGTGTTCAGTTTGGACACCCATTGTTTTATAAAATGTGGCTGCCCGTGTTTTAAGCTTTCCTGTCCCTTATCTGTGAATTCTTTTTGTTTCCAATCAGGAGCTTCAGACTTGACAGCGTTTAGCGACCCCCGAGTCGGAATTGATCGCCAGTTCTCCGCCCTGCCGTCCATTTCAGACCCCCGCATGCACTATCCTGGAGCGTTCACGTACACCCCATCTCCAGTAACTTCAGGAATTGGTATTGGCATGTCAGCCATGAACACTGCTACGAGGTACCATACCTACTTACCACCGCCCTACCCAGGATCTTCTCAGGCTCAAGGTGGACCTTTCCAGACCAGCTCTCCTTCGTACCACCTCTATTACGGAACACCGGCTGGATCATACCAATTCTCCATGATGTCAGGGGGAGACAGGTCACCTCCTCGCATCCTCCCTCCTTGCACTAATGCTTCCACGGGGGTCCGCTCTCCTAAACCCAAACCTCCCGAACCAAAACGACGTGGTAGAAACGGAAGGAAGCCACAGCAACTCGCCAACCAACATGGGCACCACGGCACGTCTGGAGGAAGCAGTCTGGCGGCCATATTAAGGAAAAATAAGGCATCAACTATGTGACATTTACATGTGAAGTCTTTTTAGTACCGGGAGATACTGAAGAGTCTAAAAAAACTATGAATTGAGGATAGACCCAATCTCAGAATGCTGTGAAATCAAATGGCAAAGAAATAAAATTATTTAAAACGTCTATCTCATTTTTTTTTCAGCAGTACAGCTGAGCGATATGACTTTGCGGAACTTTACAGTTTTATTGTGCAGAGTTTGGAAGGACCGTCAAATTTCTGATCTCACCTGGTCATCCAAATGTATTTTTAAATTTTATTTCTATTTTTTTTTTTTTTTTAATTTAATACCTGGTCGGAAAAAAAATGAGAGGATTTAAGGCTGGGAATCTCACCCTAAATTATTTGAACAACATATGTTTTTTTTTTAAAAAAAAAGTTTTAAAAAAGCTTTCCATGCTTCTGTTACATTGTACACACAAACTCTTTGTAGAAAAAAAAAAAAAAAGCCGCCCATTTCTTTGTTTTACCTTTTTGGCACCTTAAGCCTTTTTTTGTGCTTTCTTCTATTGCTTTCAGGTATAATTTACATTTTTTTACATATGTTTTGCATCGTCTTTTTTAAAATGTTTTTATTTGTTAATTTTGGGCAATGACATGCAATTATTTGGTAATAACGCCCCCTTTGAGGCGTAGCTGTTTTATTTAAATATGTATTGTATTCAGGGTTGTTCATTTCCTTGTATTATCCCAGATGTACAAGAAAATTGTTTACATATTGTTGCGTGATGGGAAAATTATCTGTCCTGAATTTGTCATATTGTTGTTCCCCCAGAAGGCAGTGCTAAGACTGAATAATAAATATAGCCTGACCTGTGCAAACCTAATTGTAAGAAAAATCATGAGGAGTTGGGGGTTAAAGCAGGGATATCAATAACCAAACTATTATTTTTATTTTGTTTTCAGATAAAACAGTAATAGACAGACCAATTGCCTTATTTATTAAAGCAACGCCAACAGCAGTAAAGTTAAACAAATTGTAGAACCCCAATATAGCCAATCAAATTGCAGCTTACAGAAGTCACATTAGCTAAGAGTTAGCTTCCAGTTGTTTGCTGTTGATCCCCGCACTCTGATTGTCTTTACTGTTGTTTTCAATACTTTGAAGGGCCGAAGAATTTCAAGTAACAAACTACAAGGAAGACCTTGGGTAGCCATCTTGTAAGTAACCATGGGAGTCCTTGGTGGACATGCCCTTAAAGTAAAAGCTCTCCAAACCTGAGCAACTTAAACAACAAAACAATTAAAAAAGGATTCATAAGTATGAGTATATCCGCAGATATAGTGATGTATAGAAATGGTTGGCGTTCCAGTGGCTTGGCTATATAAATGCTCTTTGTTGAAGATTGTATAATACAGTCATGAACAAGGTCAACACATTTTGGCCATCAGCCTTAGTTATGGCTAAGGCCTTATGGCTGAAACGCATTGGCTTTATGCATTACTGTATTACACGATCTTCAATAAAGAGAGTTTATATAGCCGATCCTCTGGAGCGTCAACCGTTTGTATGCATCACTTGAATATTAGAGGTTATCAGAGACCTTATGAGCTGGAAACCCGTGTCTGCAAGCTGAGGATCAATAGGTGGTAGCAGCTCTGCCTCTCCTGGTTTAGTATCTGAAGATATCAATGGCTGAATTTATATTCACCTCTTGACTTGTCCAGTAAAAGACTAGCTTGGCCCTGCCTGCTTCTGCCTACTAAGCCTCACTGTACATCCCTCAATGGATATTAGGGGACACAGAAGGTGATAGGGGGCTCTGTAGCAGATATATTTTCGATGAAAGGAATTCCCTTAATTTCCTGTCCCAGTGACACCTATCACCTAGAGAGGAAGTGAGAGGAACTCTTTCCAAGTGGGGACAGGGTAAGCAGTAATATATGCAACATCTATTCTAATCATACCCAACTACTATATTAATGTACACTCACGGGCCACTTTATTAGGTACACCTGTTTAATTGCTCGGTAACACAAATTGCTAATCAGCCAATCACATGGCAGAAACTCAATGCATTTAGACATCTAGACGTGGTGAAGACAATTTGCTGAAGTTCAAACCGAGCATCAGAATGGGGAAGGAATGGGATTTAAGTGACTTTGAACGTGGCATGGTTGTTGGTGCCAAACAGGCTGGTCTGAGTAAACTGCTTCTCTACTGGGATTTTAACGCACAGCGATCTGTACGGTTTACAGAAAATGGTCAGAAAAAGAGAAAATATCCAGTGAGTGGCAGTTGGGTGGATGAAAATGCCTTGTTGATGTCAGAGGAGAATGTACAAACTAGTTGCTGCGACATTCAGATGGTAGGGTCAGAAGTTGGTAAACAACATGAAAGCATGGATCCATCCTGCCTTGTATCAATGGTTCAGGCTGGTGGTGGTGGTATAATGGTGTGGGGGAGATTTTCATGGCACTAGAAAGCTGTACCCAATAAAGTGGCTGGTGAATGTATTTAGATTGCTGTCTGTGTCCTCTTCAGGGAGATTTCCCCTCATCTGAGGTGTTTCCGCTTTCCAAAAGCAAAAACGTTAGACAGAGTTAGTATCAAAGGGGAAGGAAGTGATGGAAAATTTCAATGCAATGGTTTAATGCCTTTATAAGTGTCTGGAGGTTCTCATTTGTCCAGGTCATGGTATAGCTAGTAGAAGTCACATTCAGCTAGACCTGTGTAATGATGAAGACATTTCATAACTCATCCATGCTAGTTCTTCAGTTCTAAGAAGAGGATACCTAAGCATTTATATCCACACAGGTTGCACTGCAACGTTAGTCCAATCACCATGAAATGTGTCAAGGCAAATGTTGACTGTCCAAGAACAGAATGGGAGGTGTGACAATTGTGGAACCAATTACATAATCCCATCCTTGGGGTCATGAAGTCTGTATTTGCATTAATCCTTCAATTTACATGGCTGAAGGTTAAAATTGTCAAATTGCTGGGGTAGAGATTTTGAAACTTCACTGTTTGTGGAAGGCAGATTGTGTTGTAGACCCCCACCATTGTTCTTGGGATGGTTGTTCCAGTTTGACTTGGATGGACTCATTCATACCTTCTGCAAACCATATGTCACTGGCCTTGAAAGAATGTCTTTTGCACAATCAACATCTGCCCTGACACATTCCATGGAATTTGGATTAGGGTGTCTGTGCTACCTGTGTGGATATAAATTCTGGGGTATCCTCCTGACACTCATTAGCACTGAAGAAGTGACCTGGCTAAGCTTCGAGACACCTTAAATAATACAAAGCATGCCCAATTAAATAGTCTTTCAATATGGAACATTTTGGATGCAAAAAAGGGATTATAAAAAATGGCTTCATTTTAATGGCATGACGTGATAACATTTGAATTTACACCAGGAAGGATGGAGTAACCATCTAATGCAGGGGTCTCCAAACTTTGTAAACAAAGGGCTAGTTTACTGTCTTCCAAACTTTAGGAGGGCTGGACTGTGGGCAGTTGGAGTAGAAAATGCCCTAGCATCAGTGGGAGTCCACTATGTCTCAGGCTTGATGGTTAATGGGATTTACAAAATTACATAGTGCCTATGGTCAGCAGGAGGAGGAAAAGTGCCCCATCATTGGGTGTAAGTGGGAGGAATAGTGCCCCATCATGGGTGTCAGTGGGAGGAATAGTGCCCCATCATGGGTGCCAGTGGGAGGAATAGTGCCCCATCATGGGTGTCAGTGGGAGGATAGTGCCCCATCGTTGGTGTCAGTGGGAGGAATAGTGCCCAATCATGGGTTTCACAGGGAGGAATAATGGCCCATTGTTGGTGTCAGTAGCAGGAATTGTGCCAGAAAGGCAAGCAAAGGGCCAAAGTTTGGAGACCAGCAAGCTAGTATATAAATTATTAAGGCAGAAAACAAGGTATCCAGGTTGATCCACTGAGTAGGTAGATGTAACATAACATACCCCAACATCCATTGCTTTCTTCAGTAAGCTCAGGCAATCCGTCAAGCATGGTCCTATAGATCTTACTGGTTTAATCACGAGTAACACCTCTTCCATCATATTGTGCCACCACGAGGCATGCTGGGACTTTCTAAGCACCTAGAGATGTAAATGACTAGTACTTGGCTTATTGTGTACAGAAATCAACACCTGTAATAACACAGTGCAGCAAGCAGTTGGGATGTAGCAATCCGTAACAACCAATCAGAAACTAGTTTCAGCTTTTTGTAGCATGCACAGTAAAGAAAGATGAATTCTGGTTGGTTGTAAGGATGGATTTTGGTTCTGCCGCCCCCTGTCCCCCACCACTACCACCTGGCCAATTTTACTGTTCTGCAGCATCAAAGCCTTTATGTCTAAAGCCAAAACTTCTTGAAATTTTGGATGGAGTAGGGATAGAGTAAATAAAACTTCTGTCAGGTATTTTGTTTTCACATTGGGGGGGTTTTCCTTCCCCTCCAGTCCTTTAAATTTAACAGGAAAAGAGAGAAAGCATTTCCAAAATCAAGTCAAATAGAGGACAGATAGAGAAGGTGGAATCTCTGGCTCTAGCACCTAGAGTCAGAGATCTGGAGAGTGATCTGGCTACGAGGGTCTTGTAGATTCCCAGCAGAAGATAAACTGCCAATCAAGTACCATTCAGTGGTAACGGTGCCCAATCCTTTGAATCACATGTAATGTTTGAACCCTGAAGAAGAGTTCCTTGAGCCCCCGGAACGTGTTGGTTGTTTAATGTTCTTTTTTTTTTTTTAATACCTTGAATTGAAAATTAAATGAAAAGTTTTTGGACTCTGAGATCTGGTGCTTTCATTATCCTTTTTATTGAGCAATATAAACCTGACAGAAGTTCTCTTTTCTATTCTATCCAAAATTTTAAAAAAGTTTTTCCTTTCAGATACACTTTAGGCATGACCTTTCTTTTCACTGCATGTCCTGTTAAGTAAGGGAGGTATTATTGAACATTGTGTCTTGTTTTTTTTCTCTTGCCAACAATTTAATTTTTTGATTTCGCTTCATGCCAAAATTGGTGCCGT